GTAGCTCCGATACATAGCGATGCAGACAGAAGCGTGTACAGTATGAGCCAATCAGTGGCAGTAATGACAGAGCATGCGCTGTTACGCAAAAACTGCGATAGAGTGAAGCTGCGGAAGTCGAAGTGGCGAGGGTTCACCATTTCTATCACTTGGCTTTTTAAAACAGTGCAAAATGATGAAAACTACAGGGACCGACGACCAGAACTTCTGTAATTATGCCTCCGATGGTTAGAAAATGGAAGCTTCTACAGTAAAATGGTGTCGCAGGTCAAAGGTGAAAAGAATCAGACTGCCATGGACTTTCCAGGTGGAGACTTTCTCCCCAGGTGAATTTGGTGTCTGAGCCATAAAGACACGGGGTATTGGGCAAGGGAGCAGCACTGGGGGACTTAGCTTCTCCACCCCACGCAGCCTCCAGCCACTTCCGTAAGACTGATCCGACTCTCCAAGACTTCCCTAAACAAACCAGGCATCACTTACCCTCTGGCAACATGACAATTTGTCAGCGACATCTTTCGGCTCTCTCTCTAAAGGAGCACTTGGCTTGAAACACATAGAGTGTCATTTTACTCCTCTGTTAAAAACTCACTCAAGGCCACAACTTTTGTTGTTCTTGGATGCTGTCTATTCAGGCCACAACTCACGGCCACCTGATATTGGGCCAGACTCCACTGGGTTTTCTTAGCAGAAAGAGCCCTCCTGGCTCAACACTTACTTGCTTTGCTGCTACCCTGTTTCCCCGAAAATAAGACAGTGTCTTATATTCATTTTTGCCCCCAAAGATGCGCTAGGTCTTATTTTCAGGGGATATCTTATTTTTCCATGAAGAAGAGTATGGTACGCATTTATTGTTGAACAACAAAAAAGGAAATTTATTACCTGTATACGGTACTGTAGTGGTTGTCATCACAAACCAGCATAACCACACAAACTGAATCCTACAGTATCAAGAATTTCTTGTTACTACCATTATTTCCATGTACAACAATCTATGGTACATTTACTCATTTATTCATGACAGTCATGTCATCATCTTCTGGAACATCATCATGACAATCCAAACCCTTATTTTCGGGGGATGTCTTATATTTCAGCGAGAGGCAAAACTGTAAGTAGGTCTTATTTTGGGGGGATGTCTTACTTTCAGGGAAACATGGTAGTAAAAGGCTAAAGTTTGAACCCGTCCAGTGGATCCACTTAGAAAACCCTAGCGGGAAATTCTCCTTTGACACATGGAGTCACTTTGAGTCAAGGTGGACTTGGTGGCAACTGACATCAATAGTCTTTATGGAAACACATCTCCAGATAGTTCTTCACAGAGCTTCTGGGTGGGAGTTCAAACCACCAAGCTTCTGGGGTAGCAGCCAGTTATTAATGATTCTGCCACCCAGGCCCTTTTATGTACTGGAAAAGCCTTCAAAGCCCTGAATGACACCCACAATGTATAAGCCAAGAAGCAATATAGAGCTGATCACAGCACAAGTTCAGTGTTAACAAAATCATGTTAATGTGTGACGTCGGACCTCTGCAAATCTTGCCTCAAATCAGCCGAAAACAAATACACATGCACACAGAAATAAATAACGTCCAAAAATGAACTTTAATTAATTGCAAAATTCATACTAAGCAAAGTCTTGATCTAGCATCTTAACGTTTCTGAGTAGTTCTTTAAAAGCAAAGTTTGTTGTTCTGTGTACATTATTTCCTTTCTTAAGGGCACAATTTCATCCATATTTTAGGTGACCTTTTAAAATTAATTAACACATCAGCAAATTTCTTCTTATCCCTGGATAGTTGAGACAGAGAGATAGCTAGATGGACGTGTGTGTGTTACATACACACATTTACATATATCCACACCTTGTCACTGCTGTGCTGATTTTGTGATCTGAGAAATCAAGACAACTGCCAATGGCCAGTTGAGAGCTTGGCCCAGGAAGAAGCTCGGACTCTTTTAAACTTTCAAGAAGAGAAAGTAGCCAAAACCATGCTAGCACGACAACAATAAAATAGTGGGCATAGATGACAACCGCAAATGAATTTTGAGATTCCTTCTAGGGACGGAACATGAACACATACTGGTAAATCTGCGCATAATAGAATCCCAAGTAAGCCCCACTTTTGAGATTGCATAAACTGGGTCAAGTGGAAAGTCAGGCAATAACCAAGGCTGTTTATTTGTTTTATTTATTTTCTCTCAATGAGGGGCATACTGAAAGGACCAGAGATTAGGAGTTCCTTATTCTGTAGACTTTGCTACCTTAGCGTGGGAACGTTCAATCGTTGGTAATGATGAGTAATTAGAGTGAAAATTGATATTTTCTCTTCTTGGAAAACATTTTCATAAACATGAAATTTTAATATTTCCCTGTAATTAGGCATCTATGGTGTGTGCCCGTATATGGTTTGTGGAACCAGAGGAATTATACAGATTTCATTTTTATTCAGCAAAACAGAATAGGACCATTTAATGAATGTTTACAGTTCAGCATTGATTTATGCAGCTAACACAAAGCGTCTTTGTATATGCTGAATACATTGTGCTCCAATGGCATTTGCTGATAATGTTGTAAACTTTTGTTCTCAATAAATATTTTCTCCTGTGTTGTCTTCTTTGACAGCCCACCTTTCCTGTAGGTCCTGCAATAGGGCCTAACACAGCGATTAGCTTTGCTCCTTACTTGGCACCAGTGACCCCCGGAGTTGGGCTAGTTCCAACAGAAATCCTGCCCACCACACCCGTTATTGTTCCTGGAAGCCCACCTGTCACTGTCCCAGGCTCAAGTGCGACCCAGAAACTTCTCAGGACTGACAAGCTGGAGGTACTTCCCTTGTTTGTGGTTTGCAATGCGTTTGTGGTAGGAGTGTACTGATCTGTAAGTGGAAACTGGATAGATACTGATTCAGTCGTGTCAAACAGCCACACGTGTGCATGTACACAAGTGCTCATACATCCATAGGCACATAGACCTAGAATTAATCCCATCATGACCGCAGGGCTTGAAATCAAGCCGAATATCAAGGAAACTAGTTGGTGGGAAAACAAGGACGTTAGCACAAAGGAAAGCGATGAGTCAGACAAATTTCTTTCTGGCCTAACGTAGGAAGGTTCTTTCACTGTGCATCTGTCCAAGTATTTACCCAATGAACCGTGAGGGCAAGGACATAGTTCTACCTATTGTTCTGAATCTGTTTCAGGATGCAGAGTTTCAAACGGAAAATATTTGTAAAGACATCTATTTTTCAATCAGTTTTAAACTGGAGGATATGGGCCTGGCGTGCAAACTCTAAACTCTACTAGACTGAAAATCTAGCCTTTGCCTCTGATTATTGAGTAGACCTTTCGCAAGACTGGAAGAGTGGTTGGGGGCACCTACTGCACCCACTGTGTTTTAGGATCGGTGCGTGACATGGGTGTGTGGGTTAGAAAACACGTATATCAGTGGACTTGGGAATAAAATATCCTTCCAACTAGGGCTGGTAGACAAAGCCAGACATAAAAAATGATTCATGATGACTTTAACAGGGCAGCTTTCAGTTCGTTTCAAACCAGGAACAGCGTCTTCAGAACGGCAGTCCACCCAGAGGCCCTGGGTCGATGCTGGCTGGTTGTCTGCGTGTCTGACAGAGCCACACAATGAAGTCACCCCATCTGCAGAGAAAGCCTTACAACCAGTGGGAGCCTCTCCTGATCTTCCTTTACTGTGTTTTATTAACTGGAGACAGGATGCTGGCTAATGCCCAAGGTGACCGAATCTGGTCCCGGGCTTATGATGTAGTCTACTGAAACCCCCACAAGCTCCCCTGGCCACTGGTTGGTAACACTGTGTTTTGCTAAGTCTACTTGCCTTTCACATGGCTTCCACGACCCTGGTACTCAAGATAGGAACTACCACGAAAGCCTAAAAATTGCTTTCATTCTTTCTAGCTACTAATGATATTCATGGGTGTAGGAAATCAGCGCATGACTCATGGCTGTGTATATTCAGGGCAGAAGTAAGAATACAGCTTCTGAAGAAGTCTCCTTTTACACGGTGTGGTTTTGATTGCCCGCAATTCTCAGAAGATGGAGAACTCTCGTTACGGAGATGTCAGGAGAAGCAGAGATAAAAGGGGGGAAACGCATCTGTACTTCTGACTCTAGTCCACATCCTTCCATTTAGTCTCTCCTTTTGTTTCTTTCTGTATTCTCTCCCTTTCACTTTTTGCTTAAAAAAAAAAGTTATTTGCTCTGATGTCAAAAAGAACAATGTAGGGTTTTACCTGAAAGTTTTGGTGTCTCAGCTATTTTGGCTTTTCTGATTTTTGCCTATAAGCATTCGTGAACATGATCATCTCGGGAGACACAGAGTATCCATGTTAACTCAGCCCATTCTCTACTCTTGGCGAGAGAAAGGACAGGTGTGTCATCCCCCACCTCTTTCTGGAGATGTGGGAGCCCCGGTGTGATACTGGCTTGTCTCCTTTTTGTGGATAGATGCTGTGGTTGGGTCTATCCAGACGTAGAGCGCCCCTGGGGACAGCAAAGGAAGCACCACCTAGTCCTGCATTATTCTCACAACTGTGCTTATGCTGGAGCCCATTGTTGGAGCCATCCCGTCACGGGCCTTCCTCTTTTGCATTGGCCCCCGGCTTCACCCCCTTTCCCCTTCTCCAGGGCCTGGCCTCTCCTGACAACGTGACCATCGTTCATGAGACGAAGTCTCGCCCTCCTGGCCTCTTAGGAGCATTCTGGCTGTACTTCTTCCAAGATAGATTGGTTGGTTTCTTTTGGCAGTTCCTGGTACAGACACACATCCATATGTATGCATACACACATACACGCACGGCGCCTCTGGTGGGCGCTGTGTTGGACTGTTTGTAACCACAGGGTCAGCAGTTTGAAACCACCAGCTGTCCACGGAAGAACGATGAAGTTTTTGGCTCCTGTAAAGATTGACAGTCTCAGAAACCCGCAGGGATAATTCTGCTCTGTCCTATTGGGTTACTATGAGTCAGTAGTGAGGCAGTGTCAGTGAATGATACACACACACATAATGACATATACATATTCAGGCACATAAAAATGTCTGCAGAAAAATCCCATTGTCCCACAAGTGTTGAATGCGCATGTGGTGTGCACACTATTCAGGGGGCAATGAGGCTTCGTTTGTGTTTCCTTTTGCTTTTGCTTTGTTTTTCAAAACCATTTGTATTAGGAGTTAAGCCAGACATCATACCGTTCTGTAGTTTAATCACATCAAGCAGGATTGTACAATTGCTACCCAAATCCGTTTCAAAGCATTTTCTTTCTTCTTGAGCTCCCCCTTATTCTCCCACCTTCCCTACTGTACCCCTCAAGAACCCTTATTCTAGGTTTTTTTTCTCCCTTTTGTTTTAGTCGTTTTATTAGGGGCTCATATTATTGCAACTAAACTGCAGATTTGGGCTAATTCCTCACCATAAATTTCCACCTCAGAAAGTGGACAAAGCAAAGCTCAAATCTGCTCGGCCGAGAATATTTCACCGTCAATGACAAAGAAATGGAAAGGGGAAACATAAAAATAAAAGGCCATCAAAGAAAGAAAGAAAGGGGGGAGTGGGGAAGGAGGGAGGAAAATGAGGAGCTGATGCCAGGGGCCTAAGTGGAGAGCAAATGTGTTGAGCATGCTGAGGGCAATGAATGTACAAATGTGCTTGACAGGATGGACAGATGGATGGATTGTGATACGAGTTGTCTGAGCCCCTAATCAAACAATTTAAAAAGAAAGGGAGGAAACATCGTTATTCTCGTTGCTGTCGCTGTTGCTCACAGACATGACCGGTTGGAGAGCCTCGGCTTTCCTCCGCATCGTCCGCTTTCCCTGTGTGTCCCCAGGTGTGCAGGGAGTTCCAGCGAGGAAACTGCGCCAGGGGCGAGACCGACTGCCGCTTTGCACACCCTGCTGACAGCACTATGATTGACACAAACGACAACACTGTAACCGTTTGTATGGATTACATAAAGGGGCGTTGCATGAGGGAGAAATGCAAATATTTTCACCCTCCTGCACACTTGCAGGCCAAAATTAAAGCTGCACAGCACCAAGCCAACCAAGCTGCCGTGGCCGCCCAGGCAGCCGCGGCCGCGGCCACAGTCATGGTAAGTCAGGTCTGCACCCGGTCCATCTCCTGCCCATTGCCCAGCCCCGCGCCCCCCGGCCGCCCACCACTCTGCCAGGACTTGCTGGTGGGAGCTGCTAGGACCGAGTCGCTCCTCAAACCCGTGGGAGAATCCAAAAGGCTGCTTCTTCCTGCTGCTCTGCTGCCTTTGTTGTGTTGTTGTTTGCCCCTTATGATTTGGTTGTGTGTTCGCCTCCTTCACTTATTCAGCACAATAAATAAATCCCTCAGGCACAGGGAAGCAAAGGGGTTTGGTGCGCTCCTACTGGCTCTGCTACAAGCCTGAGATGCACTGGCGTGGATTACCTCTTAAGAGAGGGCCCTCCTGCTTTCTGGGATGACAAAGAACAGGGGCAGCCTCCAAACTGAAGGCTGAGAGAAACTGATCTGGATGCCATGCTGCCCAGCACTAGGGAGCCACAGCCTTTGTCGCGGAGGTGAGAACACAGCGTAGGGACCTTCAGTGACTGGTTTCCTCGATTCACTCTCTTTTCCCCCTTCTATTGATCACAAAGGCAATGCTTGCCAACCCCCACCCCAAAGGAGACTTTATGCAGAATGACAGTTCACGGAAATGGAGTTATCCTGGCTGGCACCGGCCAGCCTGGTTTCCCTGAGTCACCTGGGGACAGCCTCACTGGCCCTTGGAGACCAGCGGTAACGGCATGATCATCACCTGTGAGTCGGCGCAAAAGCCAGCCGATCCTGGTGTGCGTCCCCTAGAGACCCACCTGAGCGACTGCGGGGCAGCGTGATCATCGCCTGAGAACCTGTGGAAGTTCCAGAAACTTCTGGCACCGACTCAGACCTTGTGGACTAGAGTTTGAATTCTAAACTCTCCCTGGGCACTGGTTGCACGCATTCATATCTGTGAAGTAATTGCCTGGAACATTCTTCACAAACCCGGCGGTTTATAATGAGTTTCTGAAGCCTTGGCTTCCCCCAAGGGAGGTTGGCCACAGTTCTTTCGCCCCAAGGGACCCTATTATATGTCACCATCATGTCACTGCGTCCCGTTGCCCAAAGTTTCATTTTCAGTTGGTCTGGTCTGTGACCTGGATTCTGGAATCATTTCATTTTCCAGACAATTCAAAACCACTGCACCAGCCTGTGGCAGCTCCTAGTTTGATTCTATATGAAACCGAGTCTCCCGGGCATCTATTTTGGTAACACATCACAGGCATGCCTGTTCGTCCACTCATTCATTCAGAACTGATTGAGACCTGGCATGCATCAGGCCCTTCCTGTGCAGAATGAATTAAGCAAGTCCCCTGGCCCTTGAGGAGTTTGGAGTTTTTTTGAAGAGGCTACACTCATCTAAACAAGTGAGAACAATATTTTTCCGCAGTGACATGATGGTGACATATAATAGGGTCCCTTGGGGCGAAAGAACTGTGGCCAACCTCCCTTGGGGGAAGCCAAGGCTTCAGAAATGAAAGGTACAATTTGAAAACACATCATTCTAACTAGCAACCACCACATCCTACAGTGGTAACTAACCATCATGGAAGGTTTGCTCGCATACAAATGAGCTCATCACTTATCATCCTCACTTATCACCCCTGCCATAAATACTTAATAAAGTCCTAGCCTTGTGATAAGTATTAAGAGCCTGCCCTTATATGATCAGCACTTGGTGTGAAATTTGTGATTATATTCAAACTTTTGCCATCTAAGGTATTTCCAAGCATGCTGACCATTCGGTCTTCCATCTGTCTCACTTGTTTTTGTTTTTATCTCCCAGAATCTCTGTCCCTTTAGGATCTTTATTTCCTCATGCCCTCTCAACCGTATGTCACTGGACCTAATACTGACTTTTCTGAACGTGTGGATTTCTGTATATGTGGGCTGGATGCATTTACATAGGGAGTCCATACGAAATGAAGACTCTTGTCCCTGCTTTTCCAGTAAAGAGTGGTTTCCAAACCATAATGCGAGACTGGGAGCATCAGCAGAGGGTCAATTGATCATTTCATGCTGATGAAAAAGAAACATTTTGTAGAGGGCGAATGACCTCCTTTCTCCATTTCTTCAGTGTGGAATCCATTGGCTCTCCACTTATTAGAGATCGCATCCTATGAGAAATAAATGGTCTTCAATTTACTCATGCTTGTAGCCCAACCCCAGCTTATCCCAGGGTACCCAGACTGCTGGGTACTAAGAACATTTTTCCCATAGAATAAATATTAGAAATAATAACTAGGTCTCCAAGAGATGCCCAAAGCTTTGGTTGCAAGAGGCAAAGCGCCAAGTAAATTAGCTTAAATGAACGAGTGGGACGCTACTAGATTCTAGAGTACCCTCCACAGCAGGTAGGTCCAAACCCGGGCTCCAGGATGTCTAGATGTCTGCATCTTTCTTTTTTCCACTTCTCTTTGCATATCAGGTCCGTTCTCTAGAGCCACCTCCTCCACATCATCCGTATCATGGCTTTAGAAATCTCCATGAACCTTCTTACAGCTTTGGACGAGCTGCAACAGCATCTTCTCTACCAAGTCTCAGTAAAGAAACAAAACCAAACAGAGTGTTGCTTTAGTGCTAAGCCCCCTCGTCAAGATAATTGGCCTGGGCATCAGTGGGGAACCTCTCTTTCTATCCAGGGCAAGAAGTTATGAGACAACATTCCTGAAATAGAGAAACATTATGAATGAATGATAAATTCTCTATACTCTATAAGTGGAGGCCCTGAGTGGCACAAACAGTCATTGCTCGACAACTAATAGAAAGTTTGGAAGTTCAAATCCCCCACAAGCAGCCTTGGAAAGCATCCCAGGTGATCTTCTGAAAGATCACAGCCTGAGAACCCCGTGCAACAGTGTTACTCCGCATACATGGGTTGCTACCAGTTAGAATCAGCTTGCTAGCAGCCATCAACATACTTTAAACATGATACTAAGGGAGACCTTAGAATGTAAAGGCTTTTTCTGAACCCTGATTTGTTTCTGCCCGTTTCCTAGAAGTACCCATTCTGATAGTCCTAATTTACATATACTTTAATCATTATTAAAACAATGTACCTGTTAGTCGATGGCAGATTATCTGGGCAGAGGGTAAGAGAGGATAGATGGCCATTTATATAAGCACTGTCTTCAGCCTCATCTGACTGTACGGACCCTTCTAAATAGTTTCACTTTATGCCACAAGAGACATGAAGTTTTTCTCCAGGCATTTTAGCGTAATTACCATAGTTTCTTAGATGATAACCCTGTGCCCAAATTTGGAGTTCAGATCATTTCAGCGGATCGTGCAGCATCTTCAAAGACAGCTCCAAGCAATGGCGTTTCAGAACAAAAGCCAGCTTCTTTTCGACAATGACCAAATCTGTCACGTCTCTGTCATTGAAATGAGACGCTCCTTTGCAGCCAGCCTAGATGTAGCTGGAAAAGGTCAAGGTTCTTACTCAAGTCTCACATTTGTCAGTACACTGAAGATAATCTATTGTTTGCCTTCCTTATTTAAAAGATCAAATTGAAGGGCTGAACCCCCTCAGAAGATATAAACATTCCATTCACTTGAACCCCAAGGATGTCGTTGTTGTTGTTGTTGTTGTTGTTGTTGTTGTTAGGTGTGATTGAATCGGCGCCCACTCATAGCAGCCTTACATACAACAGAATAAAGTACTGCCCAGTCCCGGGCCATCCTCACAATTATTATGTTTAAGCCCAGCGTTGCCGTTGTGGTGTTAGATCATCTCCCTGAGGGTCTTCCCCTTGCTGTTGACCTTCACCAACGATGATGTCCTTTTGCAGGAACTGGTCTCTCCTGAAACCATGTCTGAAGTAAGCGAGGGAAAGAAAGTCTCGCCTGCCATCCTTACTTCTTTTAAAAACCAAACTCACTGCCACGGAGTCGATGCTGACTCAAGGCAACCCTATAGGACGGGTAGAACTGTCCCTCTTTACAGGCGTTAAAAACCTCATCTTTCTTCCCTTGGAGCCACTCGTGGCTTCGAACTCCTGACTTTGTGGTTAGCAGCTCGACTCGTAACCACACTGACACAGCTATAGTACATTTATATATTTATTTAGTCCAGGGTGATTTCCTCCTCCTTTTGATCAATTGTGCCTTTAAAAAGAAAAGAATTTGAAGCTTTGGTTTCAGAAAAATAGACACTTCATTTCCTTCAAGCCTTATCCATTTTCAGTACCTCTTACACCCTCTCTAGGATTTTTCAATGTGAAAATAAACCAGACACAGCTTCTCTCTGTTAGTTTTAACATAAAACGTATCTGATCGTCAAGCAATCCGTCTTTTTTCCTGTTCAATCAAACAGAGCAACACAAGGAAGAAATTATTTCGTAAAAGGAATCAGGACAAGCAGCCATCTGCTAGAAGATTGCTGTTGTGCAAAGAACCAAGATCAGGCGCAGCCTCTTACTCTACACACAACTTGCAGCTCGGGTAATGCCATCGGGTCTCTTGACCCAGAAGACTTACCTGTGTGGGCTCTAACTTTGCTTGCCTTGACCTACAGTTGGATTTTGCCAGATCCATGGAAAAACACAAACCAAACAAAACTGGCTGCATGTGACCCCATTTATCCAGAGCCAGAGAGGGTCCTGGAAGAAGCAGGGGCACCGATATGTTGGTGAGCCCAGCAAAGAGGAATGTGTTTACAAATGTCTTGCACAGAGGAGGGGCTCAGTTAAAGACAATCTCTTTCCTCAGTAGCACCCAAGGGAGCTCCTGGGAGCTACTGGAATTACTAAGGCCCATTCTAAGCCTGTGAATCTTCCAGTGTAGAAAAAACATATGACAGTGTTCAAATGACAGCTCTCAGCGCACGCACACACACACACACATTCTGTTTCCTAAAACCCCAAATTACAATATGATTATCCAAATGCACAGATGTTTTAAATGTCCTACGCATGTGCTTCACAAGGTCAAGGCGCCCAAGAGGGGCATATATCAGGGACCTTCCAAAAGTTCATGGGAGAAATTGTCTATCACTTAATTCCATAAATCTGTGAAGTTTGGAAAACTCCTCTGTCTACGCCTCACCTCTAGGAACAAGCCTAGGTGAGCAGGTAGTTTGGGCTCATCTGTTTGTTTACCCAAAGGCTGGTGGTTCAAATGGACCTAGCAAAGGCCTGGAGAGCTGCTTCCAGAAAGATTGCCACCAAGGAAACCATGGAGCAAGCCTAGTCTGTAACTTAGGGGCGTGCCATGAGTTGACCGCCAACTTGATGGCAGCTCACAATAGCAAATCCTCCGAGGACTTAGTGCTTCTTTGATAAGACAAAAGGATAACTCACGCAGCGGAGGGGTAGGGGAAAAAAAATGCTACCCCCACCCTGTGCTGTTCAGAGCTCTCCAACTTCAACAACAAATTTCTGCGGAAGAGAAATGTCAGGACGCTCAGATCAGAAAAGAAGAGACTATGAACATTCCAGGTGGTCCTCCTGAAGAGACCATTTGATGATCTCTACTCTACTTGGAGACTTCATTACATGATGAATTGCTCATCCAAGATTTTTCCTTAACACTTGCCTCTGGGGACATCATCACTCCTACAATTAGCGTGTTAGAAAAGGTCAGCCCAAGGAACAGAAGGGTTTGCACAACATTCTCTGTACCAGGAGAGTGAATGGAAGATTGGAGACCAGAAAGTCAAAGCCAAAATGATTTTCAATTTGGTCATCACGTTAATCTTTTCAGTGAACTCTCTAAGAATAGGTTTAGGAAGCAGTATCTCATTAATAAAAGTTAATTTAGCCTAAATAAAACCGGCATTTGCTTTATTTAGCAAGGTAAAGCTACACAGTGACAAACATTTCGAACAAAAATGGTTACATGATAGTAATTTGCATTTGAGGAAAGGATATCTCGTTCACATAGGTTTTCTTAGTGTGGGGCAAATCAGTTTTTAAATATGGTCAAAATCCATGTCAGAACATTGGTAGTTGATGGCTCAGATCAAACTGCCTTCTACAACATCGTCTTCTCCATTGAACCCTCTAGATCAGCAGTTCTCAACCGGTGGGTCACGACCCCCTTGGGTGTCGAACAACCCTTTCACAGAAGATCACCGGAAAACACCTATTTCTGGTGGTCTTAGGAACCGAGACACCGCTCCTCTATCATCTCCAGGCGGGTCTGCCCACATGCAGACATGGCCACATATGGGTTACCTGGCATGAAGCATTTTACCCATGCTACCCCATGCTTCAAGACAAAATTTCATTTATTTGTCATTAGAAATAAATAATTCACAATATATACTTACATATTGTTTTGTGATTAATCACTATGCTTTAATTATGTTCCATTTGTAACAATGAAAATACATCCGGCATATCAGATGTTTACATGACGATTCATAAGAGTAGCAAAATTACAGTTATGAAGAAGCAATGAAAATAATTTTATGGGTGTGGGGTCACCACAACATGAGGAACTGTATTAAAGGGTCATAGCCTTAGGAAGGTTGAGAACCACCCCTCTAGATAGCTACCTAGAAGTCCCTTTCCATTTTATTTCTACTCTCCTTCTTTTTCTCACCTCCCCAGTTCTTTAACTTCTCTCCTGTCGTTTCCACCTTTTTGATCAAAACCAAAACAAAAAATATCAATTACTGAAGAGCATCCCTTTATTAGCCAAGAAAAATAGCATACATTGTTTCTCATTGTGAGGATTTCATCCTATCCTACTTTATTTCGAATGCCACGGTTCTGCCACAGTGTAGTACGTAATATACATCTGTGTTTCTTGGATGAAGCTTAGGGATTTACCTATTGTGCTAAACCTAAAGGTGGATATTTTTTTAATTTGCATTAGAGCTATTCCTTTGACTGTTTTATTTTCCAGAATTCCATCATACAATTTAAAAAATTGTTTTACAAAAATTATGAAGGAATAGTAATTTTTTTTCATTGTGGGCTAAATATCAATCTTTGCTATGATTTCAACTGTTTAAATGTAACTATCTTCCTAGAAGTATGTTTATAAGTTAAATATATTATGGTACCTCTGATCTTTTAAGCAGTTCTTTGCTATCTTCAGTTGTTTGCTATTTTTAGTTATTGTACTTGTTCTAAGCAAGAATCCCATATTTCCATTAGCTGGGTTGGTCACTAAGTGTAACTAAAAGTACCAATAGAATTATGAACTATAAATTATTCCGATGCCCAAAGTCACTTGAATACCTTTTTAAAGGGTGTTTGCATAGTGTACCATGGTAAGTTGTTTGCCTTAATTATAATTTCAACTGTAGTAGAGAACAGAGAATGGATGATAAGTTAGTCACCAGAAGACGTAAGCTGGATTACAAAAATTGTGAATTCTAGGAAATTACTTTCCAAATCCAAAACTTACTAAGATTTGAATCTGAGTCCACGTTAGACGACTTCCACTAACAAAGTGAAGAGAGGAATTGAGGCAATTATCCACAGGATTCAGACAAAAAATAAAATCCAAACCCAAACAGTTTTGCCTAAATAATCTTGTGTTTGAATATTTTTTTGTCTGATTTTTTGGGTCTCAGTTTGCCACTTCATTTTGCTAGACCTGATCTAAACGATACATTAATTTTGCAAACATGTTCAACTGGGGTGGTGTGCTGAATGCATACATCACTTTTTATTTGAAAACTAACTTATCAGAAGTTCTTCAAACCCATGGCCCTTTGAAGTTTTGCTCTTTTTCTTTTTAAGTGAAACAATATAAAAAAATGCTTATGGTGTGTATGCAAGCTGCTGTTTTAATTAACTTTCCTGAATTTCAAACATCTATATTTTACTCTCTTGTATGCTTTTAACTAAGGTATAGTAGATGCATTTTTGCTTCAATACTAATTTAAGGTGTAATATTCATTTCTTTAGAGAACATTTTTGTTGTTGTGCATGCCTAGTGTTTTGTACGTTGTATATTGCATTCAGAATATTTTTTTCCTTCTCACCTATCCACAATGCAATGCCGTTCCCATGATGCACCTCTGCTTGCTGTTTACCTGTATGTTAATTCGCTTGAACCCCATTGGCCCACTGCCATCATGTGCTCTCTGCCTGTTATTAAAAGACTCAGTCGACTGCCAAAGCAATGAAGCGACCTCTCGAAGCAACTGTAGACCTGGTACTTTGACCTTTCACCTTTCGCTTTGCATGTAGCTTTTCAGAGAACCATCTGAGATATGTATGACTTGTAAAATATTGGTTGCAAACAATCATTATTATTAATTTATGGACAAAGAAATCAATAAGATGTTTAGTCATCTCATTTCACATGTAATATGGAAAGAAATTAATCCTAACCAATTTTAATTAGTTTTCCAAAAGAGTGAAGTAAATTTAAATTACTTGGCTCATAAAATGCTCGTTTTAATTCTGATTAACCTGTCAATTCAAGAAATTGTCATTTAGTTAAAGAATAGGTATTAATAATAACACAAATGCTTCTTTTCCCCTTTTAGACCTAGTTTAACTCATTTTAAAAGCTGGAGGCATTTTTTGTTGTTGTTGCTTGATAGTTTTTGGGTTTTTTTGTGTTGTTTTTTTTTTCCTGAGTTGAGATGCTACTGTTTGGGTTACCACAATCCTGCTTTCGCTCGCAATAACAAATTCTCACTCATTTGACATTGCCGCTGTTCAAATTAAGGTGCATGGCAGAGGCATCCTCTTAGCTGTCATTTTTCAAAAAGAATGTTTCAATTGATTGTTCTCTGTGGACACTGGATGTGTGGTTAAGTTATCCACGTCTTATCAACTCCTTCATTTGTAGGCCTTCCCCCCTGGTGCGCTCCACCCTTTACCAAAGAGACAAGCGCTGGAAAAAAGCAATGGTGCCAGCGCCGTCTTCAATCCCAGCGTCTTGCACTACCAGCAGGCTCTCACCAGTGCGCAGTTGCAGCAGCACGCCGCGTTTATCCCAACAGGTACGTGCCCTGAGCGTTCAGGTCCTGTGTTCACGTGCCCGTAATGTGCTTTCTTCCCGGTTCTTCGGGCTGTGTGGGGTGGAGTGGGGCTCGTTTGCTTTTAAAGAGACAGTGCACTCGGAAAGTCTCCATTGCCCTAGAGGAATAGATGTGCTAACCTTGCTCTGAGTGGTAGCTAAAGACTGTTAGGAATCTAAAGCCAAATAGTGTATCAAGTTAAGCAGCAGCTTTAGCGACGGAGAGATGATAGCACTAAGGTCTTTACACACGCTGTGTGAAGGTGTTTACCCTGTTTCCCCGAAAGTAAGACATCCCCATTGAGTTTTGCCTCTCAATGAAATATAAGGCATCCCCCCGACAATAAGACCTCCCCAAAAATAAGGCCTCCCGAAGCTACCATAACTCTGGACCATAGCGGAGGGCACCGCCCCCGGGCAGCTCACTGTTGGCCGCAGCGCAGCTGGAGCAGACAGGAAGTGCGAGGTCTCTTTTAATAAAGCAATAAAAAAATAAATGTGTACCGTATTCTTCTTCATGGAAAAATGACACCCCCTGAAAATAAGACCTAGCGCATCTTTGGGAGCAAAAATTAATATAAGACCCTGTCTTATTTTCAGGGAAACAGGGTATGTAACTCAGACCTCTTCAGAAGTGAAGTTCGTCCTTAACACTAATGAACTAAAAATAGCCATGACAAGAATTACTAACCATTTCTTATTTCTAAAACAAAACAAAACAAATTAGGCTCTTCAAATTAAAGCGAATGTGTACTCATATTTTTATATTCATTCTAACTCTTTCCTCCATCCTCTCCACTGTCACCAAATTCCACCAAATCTATAGCACCCTTTTCCGTGATTTCTGAGTCAATGCCTGATAATATTGGGTGCTGAAACGTATTAACTTTCTCGTTCGACTGAGATCAATTATGTGCATCATAGAATGTTGGAGTTTAAAGGACTCTTAGTGATCTGTACTCACAGCTGATGGTTTTACAGATGAGAAAACTGAGGCCCCCTAAATATGCAGTGACTTCCCTAGGTACCACAATTAATGGGAAAAAGACTTAGATAGAATCCTTTGTCCCTGTGACCAGCCCGATTCGCATAACCTCCCCTCGCCTCCTTGCAGCAAGTCCTAAGCTTCTCCTTTTCCAGTAGGCCGTCAAAAAGCTGATGAACTTGAACAAAAGGACAGTGGATGTCAGCCCTTCCCAGGTTCACCTCCATCCCGGATCCCAGACATACAGACACACCTTATACAGACACCTTACACAGACACCCCCAGTCACACACAGATCCACTGTAGGTTTGTCCTTTATACCTGTTAGAACCAGGAAGTGACTTTAGTGGGAAGACCACCCGTTGAATTTGAGGTCCAAATTGAATTTGAGTCCAAATTCACCATCTTACAATAGGAAGCTGAAGGTAAATGAAAATGAGTCGCCATTTTATCAGAAAGAACGCGTTGATCTTCGTCTGCATGGTTGGAATTTTCAGATGTATCATCCATTTCCCTAAAACCTGTATCACAACATGAGTTAATTAAAAGGGAGTTGAGTAAAGGTTTCCCTCATCGGCTTTGTCTACATTCTACACTTTGAAATGAGTTATTAACCTACTAACAGCAATATTTGTTATAAGAAAATATAAAGGATGGAAGACAGATGGTTTATAGTGTTTAGCTTTCTTGTTTTATCTTAAATAAATCGACAGACCAGTGGAGTGAGATGTCCAATTCAGTACTTCACTGAGGTTTCACTCTCGCCCTTTGGAAATCTTAATGGACAGCCCAGTGCAGTGACGGCACAGTATTGCGTGTACGTGGAATCCTCTTGAAATGAATACTTAGAAGATAATTACTACAAGGTGGAACTACCTTGATGTCCTTTGCGATTTCTACAAATGTCTCATTCTCTAGATGTCTTGGTCACTAGATCTCCTAAGAGGAAAAAATTAGGGGGCTATCCACTGAAGAGGAAGAACATAAAATGATAAGTCTGTTTCGGGAGGATGGGTGCAAAAGCCACTACCAAATCCTTGGACTGCCTATGAACCTGGAGCCAGGATGCACAGTCCGCTCCACCATTCTCTGGCACATGCCTGCTATTCCAATTCAGTAAAGTAGGCTATGTTAAGTCCCCAAAGCAATCTGCATTTCAAAATATTTCACCTGGAAACAACTTAAGTATTTCCAGTAGACAAGGATGTACATCATCCCTTCTGCAATGGCCTGCTTTTTGTTTGCTGTACTTAATGTGTTCAGGACTGCTACGCTGTTGGGGCTACCATGGTTGTGTACCTCTGCCCTCTGCTGGATTCTTTGTGTCCGGCAATGCTCAATTCAGTGCGGGGAGGGGGGTCGGCGGTGGGGAGGTTGGTGGGGCTGGGGCACAAAAATCACGTCCTAGCCCACTTACTTCTGTGCATTCAATGCATTTCCTGTACTATGATCTAAATACCACAGTGGACAGACATGTGAAGTCCCTGTTCCGAAATGGTATTTCAACTTTAAATTTTCATGTGTCTTATTTATATAACGAAGGAAAGAAATAATTTTATTCAAAGGAAAGGAGCAGACTCCCCCACTCAACCCAGTGACAGAAAAGTCAGAGTTTATTTTCACTCCTGTTTTCCTGTTAGGCTTTCTCATAAGCCACATTTTCAATCCAAGTAACAGAAATAATCACCTTTTTTTTTTTTTTTTTTTAACCATTGCTCTTTTAAGTGATATGTTCAAAACGAGTCCTTGTAATATGGAGCTGGTCATCCCGTTATTTCTAAACTGGCAAGCTTTGATTTTTACAGGACTATTTTGTATTAACAATTATCGTAGCACACAACACATGCTAGTCTTGTGGAGGGCCCCCTTGATGGTAAGGTCATTCCTAATGAAGTTTTTGATTTGCTACTAAAATTTCCCCATTGATGCAGGTTACTTTGGAGAAAGATTTAGGGATTATGCCTCCGGGGTATGGCAATATTGAATGTAAAATATGCAAAATAAGGGAATCTTCTCAAAAGCCTTGCTAAGAGAATTGTTACCCCTGTTGATGCCCTAGCATATCTGCAGGGGGGTGGGGGGGGGAGGGGCGGGGATTTTTTTCTTCGTCTTTTTTTCTTTTACTCTTTTTAAAGATAGGGATTATTTTAACCTACTGCTTATAATCTGGGCTATATTAAGAGAGTGGCAAAACCCACACACACACTTAGCAGAATGCTTATTCCTGGAATTTCTCTGACAGGTTATTCCAAATTACTGAAAGTGTTCTTATAGACATTCTCTCATGATTCTCCAAGTTATTACACTGCCAGTGGCAGGCCTAATTCTTTACATTTTCAGATGGAAAAACCTGAGACTGTGTCAGTACTGGCAATGTAGAATATACAATTAACAGAATTATCTAGAATATATAATTAAGGATATCACCTAGATCATGTTGCCTCCCAGATGCTAAGGTGAAATATGTGTGCTACTGAGGCTAACAACTCATGAGACACCTTTGTCAATGCAATCCTTGTCTCCTTTAAGTGTTTCCGCCAGTCAGATTAAACGGAACCACTCACTTCCCCCTTGATTTGTGTCATGGTATGAGAAAATCAGGCACAAATAGAACAGGGAAAAACTGCTAGCCCCAAAGTTGCCTAAGAGGATGTACAGCCACCATCCCAGTTGGTGAAAGATGTATCTCTGTTTAAAGGATCATGTGTTCACACAACCACAGCCCGTGGGTATTGCCTACTTATCCCATTAAATGTAGCCAAGTCTTCCATGCGCATCTAGTAGTAGGCGCTGAGTTTCAGAGCCAGTAGGGCGCTGCAAAGGAGGGCAGAGCTAGGTGAGAAACAGGCAGAATGAAAGGAGTGTGCTCAGGGCTGCTCTCAGCGTAAGAGGAAAGCTGAAGGAAAGTGAAGGAGCGAGAAGCCGTAGCGGCACGCGTACAGGGTAACTCGGAAAGATGTTGCCAGTGGGGCCTTGACTTCTTTTCTTGGATGAATTGGCACCCCACCCAAACACAGCAAACTCATTACGAAGACCAATCACTCCACGCATGGACTGTGTCCCCTCTGCCTCGTAGACGAGATAGACAGGACCGCTGCCCTCGTGAACCTTTCGTTAGAAGAGAGGCCATCGATTTTACATAGCTGTCCAAATGCATCCAGGACAGGCCATTTTAGATGAAGGACCAAATCTGTCGTGGACGGAGCACAGCCGGAGTTCTCCTGAGAAGCGAGGATGTCATGATCCCATCACAGGCACTCTGGACCTGATATCAGGAGGGACCAGTCCCTGGAGAAAGACATCATTCCTGCTGAAGCAGAGGGTCGGCAAAGAACGATGAAGACCCCCAGCCAGACGGACTGGCACATGAGCACTACAGTGGGCTCAAATAGAGCAATGATGAAAATGGCGTACGACCGCGCAGTGTTCTGTTCTATTGTATCCAGGCCCAGGGTGAGCCGGAACTCGTTTGATGGTACCTCACATCAACGCCACAGAGTCTTCCATGAGATATTGAAAATATCTCACTGGTTTTGGTGGTCTAGGGGCGTGGCTGAAAATACCACTGAATAATTTTCTTTTTTTTCGTTTTCACTTTTCTTTCTTTTTTTTTTTTTTTACACATTTTATTAGGGGCTCATACAACTGTTATACCAATCCATACACACATCAATTGTGTCAAGCGCATTTGTACATCATCCTCAAAACATTTGCTCTCCACTCAAACCCCCGACATCAGGTCCTCATTTTCCCCCTCCCTCCCCGCTCCCCCCTTCCTCATGAGCCCTTGATAGTTTATAAATTGGTATTTTGTCATATCTTGCCCTGTCCGACGTCTCCCTTCACCCACTTTTCGGTTGTCTGTCCCCCAGGGAGGAGGTCACATATAGTTCCTTGTAATCGGTTCCCTCTTTCCCACCCATTCTCCCTTTACCCTCCCTGTATTGTATCCAGGTCCAGTGCGTGTCAGAACTCGTTTGATGGTCCCTCACATCAAC